ATCTGGATAAAAGCCAACAATAAACTAAGATTGATGAAAAATAGCCAGAATTATTCTATTCAAGATTTCCTGTTTTGTTTTGGGTTTTGTTTTTTGGGAGGATTTTGGTGTTGTTTTGGGGTTGGTTGTTTCGGGTTTTTTTTAATTATAGCAAAGTTTTCTCTTTTATCTTGGCAGTACTTAACAGAAAGGAAAGGAGAGAGACAAATGGAATAAATGTTCTGCTTCTAAGCCTCATGGATGTGATTCCCACATTTCAAATTGTATAATTACTTTGTTTTTCCAACATCTGGTCCTTGTCAAATGCCACCATCTCACCTAGATAAAATGGAAGTTAATGCAAGACGCAGTCATTTATTTGGGAGCTTCCTCAGTGCACTGCATTCCCTGATGTGGGAGAGACTGTAAGTACAGAGAAAATGAGAAACCTTTCATCTTGATCAGAGGGCAGAAGAACATGGTCACAGTGAGTAACATCCATGTACCTTGTAATCAAGAAACCGTGCAGACACGGTGTTTACCAAAAGGTCCAAGAAATATATTGAGGACATTGTATTGTAGCATTTGAATTTCATCTTCAACCAGTCTCATGCTGTCGGCAAATGAAGGTGTGATGAACTCCAGCATACCCTGGTGACAGAGGTTTGTTTCAGAGTACAGCCCAGCCCTGTGTGACAGCACAGCCCTTTAAAGGCCTTTGCTGCCCTCTGCCTGGTGCCTCGGAGGGTGAGCTGCTGAAATATTAACACGGGATAATTTTGTGCTGTAGAATCCATGACTGATCTATGCAGAATTAGCCAGCACTGTTCCTAGCGGCTCTTGATGTTCTGCTTAAGCACAGACAGCTTCCCTCAGCTGCAGCATCAGACCCAACACACGCATCAAGACTACATCTCTGAACTGTGGGCTCTTGCAGAGCTGTGCCCAGTTCTGCCAGGACTCAGGTCAATGAGAGTGTCAGAGAGTGGCAAGTCTGAAAACCCGTGTACCTCTCCCTGCAGATCCCATAATGGTTGCATTTCACTAGGATGCTCGTTTATGTCCGTGAGTGCTGAAGCTACTGATACCCTCAATATTAGGAGTGAGTAGTGGCTGAGATATTTGTCCTTGCCTGAAACTACCCACAAGTAGGTTAAGGGAAGCTGGCTGTCTGATAGAGAAACTAGTCATCTATAGCTTGCAGCTGTCAGTCCAAGCTGAATTTACAAGACAGAGCCTATGCTCACGTGACTGCACTACCGAAATAAACACTTAAATAGTGTTCAAAAAAGTTATTTCAAAAAGAACATCATACAAAACACTCCAATTTTTTTTCTCATTTTCTCTGTAATGCTCCTTAAAATGCAGTCCTTGTAGAATATCATCATATCACCAGCTGACCCCAGAATATATTCACATTATTAGCTCGTCTCTTGTCTCATCTGCTGTATCTCATAAACTGTTCAGGGAAAGAGCTGCAATTTTGTTATTGTTATTCCTTTAACATTAGAATCTCACACTGCAGGACAGCAAATAAATAGTTTCTGGAGTGTTAGCTAAAAATACCACCAGCTGAGATTTCTTTGCAGATATTAGGACAAGTTCATAAGCTTTTCACTAAGCAAAAGATATGCCAAAGACATCTGAAACATTACTTCAAATTAATCCAGTTCATTAGGATTTTTTAGGTCAATTATCTCAATGGACAAATATAGTTTCAAATAACCTCTTTCAGAAATTCTTAATGAGAACTTTCTTGTTTCCCCACTGTATCTTTTATTCCAGAAAATCTAAAGAAAATGGTTTAGCTCAGGACGACAAACTTCAGTTTGAATTCTACAGCTTTTAGAGGCATTTTGAGTCACTGTAAAACTAAAATGTATTTTTCTACTGCGTGAGAACCATAATGATCAAGAAAAATATCCCAGAGAAACTCCCCAGAGAAAACTGTGACTCCAGGAAGGAAGGAAGGAGGGAATAATAAGAGACCCTGGAATAGGGTCACCCTCACCTCCCCAGCTATCTGACATTAAAACTGCTAAGAAGAAGTATCCATGTTATGACAGCCTTCACATTTTCACAAAGGTAATAAATCAAAAAAAAACGGTCCTGCTTGTAAGTTTCAGTGAACTGTGATGAGTTTAGGAATACCTGTTTCTCACCTTGCTGCAGGCATCAGTTTGGGATCTGATGGCATCAAGAAATAAGACCTTACCCAAGTCTGGTGTTTTCACTAACTATGAAGGTTCTTGATTAACTACTGAATAGATGCAGGACAAAATCCCATTCTGTGTATCTTTCCAGTTTGACATTCTTATGCATTTCCTGAGCTTTCCATGAAGTTTTACAAAGCTTCAGACACCCCACATTTCCATAGGGTTCCCGAGATACTGTCAAAGCCACATTAAACAGGAGTCAATTATATTAACAGCTTCTCTCCTGAGAACAGACCTCTAACTATGTCCTCAAACAAAACTAAGTAACTTTGACATTACTGGGGGAGCACTGACTCTTTCTGGTTTCCTCCCAATGCTTACAATTTGATTATTTTCCAGGATATTCTGAGAAGTGCAATTAGGCTGACTGATTTATAACACCACAGCTTCTCTTACCATCTGAAGACAAGGAAATGTTTGACCTTTTCCCCTCCTCCACAGGTTCTCATAGATAACTGCCAATAGCTCTGAGGTTGATAGTGTTCCCCTAAGTGCCCTGGGATGAATCAGCCCAACCAATTTGAAAACATCATGTTCATCTAGCTATTTTCTAACCTATTTTTCCTAATCTAGACAGAAATCTTCCATGAACATCAGTGGTGTTGAATGTATTGGTCTTTGGATCACTGTTGCCATTTTCATTGACAACCAAAGTCGAAAAAGGCATTAAATTGCCCATCTGCCAGAGAGCCTTCCTGATTTACTGCAGTTTTAAGAAACCATCAGTTTCCTTTTTTCTCATTATACTCCTTGAAATACAGAATTTTTTTCTTTACTACTTACATTTGCTTTGTGTATAAACTTTCAGTGAAAAGGGTGTCAGATGAACATCACAAATTCATAGGCTCTGAGCCTCTCCAAGAGCTACACCAACCCAAAATCTTCAACTTTGCCTCTCTACATTTTCTGTATTTACCTTTATAGCCAGATCTTCCGCTCTGTGGTCGAACAGTTGCATGGTGCCATGTCAGAAAATGGAGCCTGAGGAAGACACGAGAAATAACACAGAAGCAATAAAGAAAAGAAGAGAGAGGAATCAAGGATATTAGGGGTGGTCTCCAAGACAGCCCTTAAAGATCAGCAGCCCTGGAGTGACACAGATCAGCCTGATTGGAGGAGACACCACACAGCCGAGGCTGAGAGCATTATCACAGACCTCATGAGTGGCAGCTGGGCTTCTCTCAGAGCTGCTCTCAGCTTCATTGGCCTTCTGTGGCAACGTCAGCTGTGCTTTAAAAGGCTTTTAAAAGCTCAAAAAGACCAGGCTTTATTAGAAGATGAGCTAAAGTGACTCACTTTTAAAATAGGTCAGGCAAGAACAGAAATGCAAAGGCCCTGAAAAGCACAGCTCTCCCATCTTGTTGCTGGGAGCCTCCCGCTGACATCCTGCTGTCACGTCTTGTGTGCTGGGCAATCATCTCCTGGACATCTGTGCACAGTGGACTAAAAATCACCAATGAGCAGTTCCTGTCACAGCAGGCATTAGCACACCCACGTGTGAATAAACTGCCTGTGTACGATGTCCACTTACCCTCTGAAGTGCCCTATATGTCTCCTCTCAGACACCTGCACCAGTGGGATTTATGCTCCTTGTTTCGGGTTGTGCCATTCCCATGGGTTCAGGGAACTCATCCTGCTCTGGCTGTGTATGGGCCATCCTGGGCACACTTCTGTCCAGGCCAATTTATGATCTTCCCTTTTGGAAGGATGTCTGGGGAACCATGGGGCTGTCAGGAGTTACAGCATCACACAGCAGTGATGTTAGTGCTTGTAATGCTACTGATGTTTTCAGCTTCATTTTTAAGAAGCAGTGACAGCTCCAACATGCCCAGATCACAGCAGTTTCTGCTTTGCCTTATCTACCGATGCACACATGCTAATCCACACAGGCTTGGACATCAGTTTTTAACAGGGCATAGTTTTCTGTCAAAGAAAATGTCAGGATGTGATCTTCCATATTTCACTACTGCTATCCTGCCATTTAATTTAATAACAGCTAAATATCAAGTGGTTACTATTTTGATGCTGTGTTCCATCAGCTATTGAATTAGAAATAATGGGACTGGTCTAAATTTGTGATTCATGGTGAACTGCCAAAACTAATCTCAATCATGCAGAGGACAACATCCACTGATAACTGATTTAATAGATGATCATCTTGAGCTGTCCTGTCCTCTCTCACAGAAATAGGAATATTAATGAAGTACAAGTTCACTCACACTTTGCAAGTCTTTTCCAGACAATATAAATATTCACCACAGGAAACAATTTTTTCCTTTTTGGCTACTATAGACTCTTCCATTGCATTTGACAGGCATTTTGTGTATATGGCAAACCTTTGTGGCTTCAAGAATACTGCTGAACTGCTGAGGCGTTTTAAAAGTCTCTCTGGTGTTTTCCATGAATATTTTTCAACTTACCATCGACTCTTTCTACAGGAGGCTCTTTGCCCAAATTGCCCCTTGGGGGAGCTCCTTGCACCTGCTGTATCAACATGCTAGTGCTGATCCTAACAGGAGTTATGCATGGGTGTAAAGAGTTGCTCTGTTAGAAAAGACTTTCCAAAACTAACAAGAATTTTAAAATGTTAAAAGTATGTGCCCTAAAATAAATCCTCTCTCTGTAGCTTCACTCTCCACCAAGTTTCAGCCTGCAACTTTTCTCTGCTGGACTCAATTATCCTCTGCCAGGTTTAAAGATGCCTTAAAACATATTTTCCTGCATCTTTTATTAGTGACCATCAACAAAAAGTTGACTGAAATGTTACAGTTGATGACAGTAACATCAAGAGGCAGAATCTTCCAGGTTTGTTTTCCCAAACTTCCTTGCTTTTTGAAACAGGATAACTCAGAGATAATGAATCAATTTTGAAGTCTGCTGGTCAATTTTGTCATTTTTTCACCAGTGTACCAGAGTTATATCTGCCAGGCCAGACAGCAACTGCAAGATTCCTTTATGGCTGAGAATGATGATGCCTTACAGATCAAATTAACTTTTACAAAATAAAAGGATCACATTCAAGAGCAGGTAAGAGGGTCTGAACAAAATTTTCTGCTGTAGACAAGAGGTGGCTTTTGGAGTAGAAATTCAAATCCAAGACAAAAAGCGTTGTGTGGTCTCAAGACATACATTCACAAAGGCAACAAAGATGTTTCGTGGACATTGCACATGTCCAGCCTAGCGTGGAATGGCACAAACCCTGTATGGGTGGGGCTGCAGGGTACCCCCAAAAATGGGCTCTGTGTTGATCTCTGTCACTCCCTCGGGGAGCTGGAAGGTGAAAGCCCGCAGTAGGTTGGCAAAGAAAATAAAGAGCTCGGTCCTCGCTAGGTGCTCCCCCAAACACACACGGTGCCCTGCAGAGGGAAGAGGGGAGGACAGTGAGTAAATTACCCCGACCTCAACAGCAATTGTATTCATTCTCACACAAAGCTAGGGTATTTTTGCCTAATTGAGAATTTCTTTAGGACTTAATGCAATCAATGACACAAAGTTTATTGTAATTCTTCCTTTGACCAGTCTTACCTGCAGCTACAGATAACAGTGTGGCCCTTCTGCTCCAAGTATCCCTCAGTTACCTCAAAAATCTCATCTTAATTTGACTGACAACTTGAAAGGAATTCATTCCATCATATAAATGAAGAATAAGGACCTACTTTTCCTGAGAGATGTCATGCTCCAGTGTTGTATGCATAAAGAATCAGGAGGGCTGCTTGCAAGTACTTTCCAAAATGTATGTCTGGTGTGAAATGTATGCCCCAAATCAATAGACATGATCATTAGCAGAGAATTTCCTTCTAAAAATAAGGTGAGTTAGATATATACATTTGTCAGGACACCTCTGTTTTTCCATGTTATTATTTGTTCAGTAGAACAAAAGTTACTGAAAGTAATCATGTTGATTTAAGCATTGTTTTCCACAAAAAGGTTTAAAATAGAAAACCAATAGGTTTTTAATAGACATCTTCATTCTACACTCCCAATCCAAACTGTTAATGCTTGTGCTGTCAGTCCATTTACCTATTGAGAATGGTAAAAAGGCTTCTTGGCTCACAAAGTTTCCATCCTTATCTAAGAAGTGACCAGGGTTGAACTGTCGAGGTGTTTCCCACTGCTCTGGGTCATACAAAGATGAAGCAATATTTGGAAGAACTATGGTGCCCTGAAAGGAGAAAAACACTCAGTTCTGGCTGTGAGTCCTTACCCAGCAGCCAGAGCCAGCTGGTGAGACCAGTGTTCGTTCCCTCTCGGAGTTCAGTGTTTTGTGCTGATAGACTCAGTTCCCCAGTAAGGACTGTGAGGAATTCAAAATATTTTTGCTTCAGAATGTTGGTCCGAGCCAGACAGTGGAAGTGACCACGTCAATAGGAACTAACAACTTTATTTGTACTAAATCCGTTTTCTCTTCCAGTGTTAGGAGTTTCTGTGATTTAGTCTCTGACAAAAGCTAGTTGCAAATTGTCACGCTTTTCCCCAGATCTTTTACAGGCTTTCTGCACACAAAAATTCATTCAGAAATCTTTCCAATGCCTTATCAGCACAAACCCACCATAGTTTCCTTCAGTATCAATCACAAATGTTTTGTCTTCATTGGTTTGTAGAAACACTTTGCTAAAATATCCTTTTCCATCCAGGGGCATCTCTCACTACTGATATCCCTCTCCCCAAGAGCTGCATCACTTGGCCTGACGGATGAGTTCTTGTCTTTGTTCCCATTCAATGGGACCCAGAGGTATCCAGTCCCCCTGCTACTGAGGAGAAGCTCCTGGCACAAACAGATTTTAATCCACACCTTGTTCTACTGATGCAATAAAGGTGTGTAGCAACTTAGAAACTGCGTCTGTACCTTTTTGAGGGGAAAGCCAAGCAATGTTGTGTTCCTCACACACACCCTGGGCATGCCAACTGAGATAATGTTGCTGAAGCGTTGGATCTCATGAACCACAGCGTTTGTGTAGGGCAGTTCTCTCCGATCCTCATAGCAGATTAACTTGGAAGGACCTAGAACAGCATCCAACTCCTTCTGAACTTTTTCTGTGGAGAAATATTCAATGTTTCAGGTGGAAAAACATATCAAGTATTTTCACTAATTCTATTTAACATTCTGTTAAAAGGAAACGGTTCTTATGTAGAATGTCTGCTAAGTGAAACAATGCCAATTAGAACAATGTCCAAATACCAAGAAAGAAATGTGTCTACTCCTTGGCACCTGCTTTTTGATCAGAAATAGCATGTTTTAAATCACTTATTGCACAGGAGTCTTGGGAGCATTAACAAAAACAAAACTTCGTTTTATAAACTTCAAGAGAGACAGGACACATCACCTAAAAAAAACACCTTAGATTTTTAATAAATGATCCTATCCTTTTTCCAGGCTGGTTGAAGAAGCAGTAAGATGTAGGGAAGTCCATTCTGCATCACATCAAGCCTGCTCTGTGACTGCCAGCAGTCCTTCACACAGCTGTGCTAGGTAGGCTCTCACACCTGAGATTTAAGCACCTTATAGAATTTAAAATGTACATCCAGAAAGATTTTTAAGTAAACTTCCTTCTATGAAGAACTATCTTGCATAAGCAAGCATGACTACTTCAGCATCCAGTGTAGTTTGAAGTAATCAGTCACTGTGTAATATATACACACATCTCTGTTTGGGTTGTTGAGAGAACAAGGAGAGCCTGATTTAGTGGTGAGACAAAAGGCCAAAATTTTCCATATGTTACAGAGTGGAACTGCACAACATCGTCATTGGGTCTCAATACGTGCAACAGTATGAATGGGTTCAAAAAGCAGCCCAGGAAGGATCACTCTGCACCCACCCTGCTTTCCCACATATGTGCAAGGTATTATATTTAACTAAATAAAATTACACAGGTGAGTCAGTGCTTTCATAACCTTAATTACACAGGTGATAACAAAACGTGATAACATGAGATTAAGCAGACTTTCTTGTCTGACAGCTACAAGATGAGCAATTTTTTCTTCATGTCTTTCCTCCATTTAAAATCCTGTTCTCCTCTGCGTATTGGCACATGTTCTGTGATGTAACAATGAGATTTCTGTTATCCAGCATAAGACATCCTTCTTCCTTTCCTTTTCATTCAGTGATTGATGGTTATTTAAAAACTAGACTTAAAACCAAGCTTCTTAAATACAAATATATGTAATAGATGAGCCATCAGTTTCCTCTCCTGACTGGAATAAGTTCTGTTATAAGAAACTCAAACACATCACAGAGTTAATTTAATCACAGGTTAGATAGACACCCTGGTACCTTGGGATCAGAAATGAACTGATGGGCAAAAGTAAAGTCAAGGCTGGCAATTGACCTTTAGGCAATTACCTGTATTTCTTCTGCGATGTACAGAGCACCAAGAGGGGCAGGACCCCCCGTAGTCCCTCTTACTGATACTCAGCAATACAAAGCACAATTGAAGTAAGTTTCCAAACAGTGACACTCCTATTATTACACATTAGTTTCAGGTTAATTATTTTCAGCCATTCAGTCACGTTTACGACTAAGACAGAACCCAACCCAATTTCCTGAAGCACCATGAGCACCCCTCACCAATGGCCACAGCAGTGGCCACTGTTCCTTTAAGGAACACATGTGCAAACTACTGGCTTCCCAAAAAGTGACTCCAGTCCTCTTATCTCTACCACAGTCTTCATTTCCCCACAGACCCCTACACCTCCATCAGCCACAGTCTCCTATACAGGTGCATAATTCCCAAGTGGTTAACTGTGGGAACTGCCTTATTCTTGTGGCTGCTCTAAGAGCTTTTGTACAGATTCCCTGCATCTCCTGATGCTGCCTAGCAGAGATCTACCAGTACAAAAAGGTACATGTACCACTAGGCATATATCAGTATCTAGGAATAATCTCTGATCCATGAAGATGTTATGACTTGGCTGCTCTATTGCATGAAAGATATTCGTGATGTGCTTATTACTCACCTTGGATGTCTGGATATGCCACCATATAGAGCAGAGCCCAGTTCAAAGTAGTGCTTGTTGTCTCTGATCCACCCAGGAAAAGGTCATTTATAGAATAAACCATGTTGTCTTCATTGTATGTAGACCTGGGTTCATCTTTGGACTGCAAATGATAAGAAAAAATAGAGGCTTATACATGAAAGTTAGAAAAATCCAAATAGGGTTAAATGTGTTTTTATAACTGGTACCAAGCTGCAGTGTGTTCTGCATATAGGACAATACAGAGACTGATAAGGAATGTTAGACAGCAAGGATGACTATCAATACAAAAAGCTAACATTTCACAGAGACAAGCCATCTTTACTGCCCATTTAATCATGAAGCTAAATTGCATGTTCTTTGCAGAAAGGGATTATTGGCTTAAATGTACAAATAGTGGTTCGTTTAGAAGGTTTCATAAATAAATCTTCCTCTAAAGATGTATACCAGTATGTCATTCTTCATGCCTCAAGTCACAGTCCACCACTTATTTTTTCTAGCAAGCAACGCAGTGACAAGGTAACGAACACTGCGCTGTGTAAAGTTCTTAACCTGTGGTATTCAGGTTTCTTCTTCACTACAAAGGCACAATGACTCACATACAGCTGCTCTGGGGTTTTACAGTTTTCAATTAGAAGTGTGAGGACGTGTATGTATACACTGAAACTATAAAAGAACATCATTATGGTTTGGGGGAATTCATTGTCTAAATTTAGGGAGGTTATGCTCAGAGGTCTTGAACCTTTCTCTTGCCAATGGAGCAATTGAAAAGTGGAAAGGATGTTTTTCCCTGCTGTAATATCATCTAATCTTTTTTTATTGCTCCTGTGCATCTATTACAGACAGTTCAATTTTTTTAATAAACAAACTTGGATGATTTCCATCCAACAGATCCCAGAAGAGCTCACTGAAAAAATTTCTGGTCCACTGATTTTCAAGACTCATAAATCTTAGAATAGCAGTGAAATGCTTTAGAAGCTGTTAAATGCTTTGGAAAGCCAGATGTGTGAATGTGCCAGTATAAAAAAAAAAAATAAACAAGGGGATCCCAGGAACTAGAAGCCAGTTGGGCAGACATCCACCCTGACCATAAAAATATAGCAGCTGATGTGGTAATTAATAGAGAATTACCAGTTAGAAAAACAAACTGATGCTATTGGTTATTATATAGAAAAAAATGATCATAGCAAGGAGATCTGATTTGACTCTTTGGTAGAAGTACTAGCTTGGATGATAATGACAATTTCACAGTTGCAGTATGCTTGGAGTCCACAAGATTGTTGCTTTTGTTCCCCAGAATAATAAAAAATCGAGCACTATTAATATTCATAAGACACAAGCTACAAGACTGAAGAGCAGGCTGACAGAAATAGCTAACAGACAATAGATGGGAGGGATTTCTCCCCTGGCTGCACATCTGTAGTGACTGAGCACAGCAGCAGACCTGCTCAGGGTGTACACAAGGCAGGCAGTACCCAGGACAGCAGCTCCCTTTCTGCTGTGACAGGAGATGCAGGATGAGTGCCTGTAGCCTGACAGAAAAAACTTACTTTTTCAATGTGATCTAGGTAAAAGTCAATGAAATCCAGGTAAAAGTCAATGAAATCCTGCAGTTCATCTGGTATCCCACGCTCCGTGTGCATTCTGATCTCTCTCCGTGTAAAGGAGCTCAGGACATCATAGCAAGCCAAGGCCTTCTTATGGGGCCCAGGGAGACGACACATCAACCAGGGGAAGATTTCATACAGCTGTGGGAGTGACACACAAGAGACACTGCAAAGTTTCTATCACCAGAAAATGCACTAGAAAGGCCTGCTGCAGAGAGAGGGTAATGTTCATATCAGCGTGGGGTTTGGACCTCATTAGTAAAATATCCTGTCAAAGACTGTGCTTATGCTTTCAAGTTGTGAAACAGTACACTATTTAATTTCTAGCTGTTTTGATGGTAAGATTCAGAGTTCCACAGGCTTTCAGCTCAATCACAAGCCAAATTAGAATTACTATAACTAGGATGAACTGTGTTCGTCTATTCAGTTATTCAAGTCACATCTTCAATTACTATGAACTGCATTCAGGCATTTTAAAAGTGACATCCTGCCCTCCAGTGGAGAATACCGGGAACGGAAAAGCAAAACTTGCCAACTGTCCTCACCAAGATGTGCAAAAGGAGTTGATAAACCCAAAGCAAGGGCTGGCTGCCGGCAGCTGCTATACAGGCTGGGTAATCCCCAAAGCACTCTCTACCAATTGGCCTCTCAAGGGTCCTCAACAAAATTTCAAATATCTGAAATCCAGAAAATCTAAGGAACAGCTACCTGACAAATTTGAGTGCTCTCCTCTAGAAAGGAAGAAGGCATTAGCTGACACAACCAGATTAATTTTTTCCTTCTCTCTTACCATTGGAGAAAATCTAGCCTAAGAAATAGCTGCTTTCTACCTATTCTGATAGCTAGAAAGTTCGTTCTGATTTTCAGCCTATATTTATGCTTGGATAATTTGTATACATTGTTCTTGTATCTGCAGTGTGCTTTCTCCAATCCACTTTCCTGGCTACTGGTCCTGCCAAATCTCCTCCTCCATTTCTGGAGAAGCCCAATCCACAGTGTTCTCCTGCTTAGTGCCTGACAACATGGGATCCAGTCAAGAAATTGGGATGTGGATGCAGCAATACCATTTTTTACACAATACTGAGTACTCTTTGCATCTGGGAAATGGGAAGATTGTGGCCATTGCTCCAGAACAATTTGAATAGCTGTTCTTGTTTCCTCGAAAAGTATCTTATTCACTGGACTAAGCAAAGCCAGGGTAGGAAGGAGACAAGAAAAGGAGGTATGTTCTCTGTCCTAAAAGTAGGTCTCGCCACCACTACACACAACTTACAGGAGCAGAGTTAGGCTAAGCAAAAGGGAGCCTGACCATAACCCAGTGACAAGAATGCTCTGTGGGATGTGGAGGGAAATATTTGTATTACAGGGATTCCTTTGTGTTTTACGTTAAGAATTTACTGCATAAGATGTATGGGACAACTTTGGCAGTGGGACAGAACCAGAACTCCCAGAAAACTTTGAATGCACTTCTGTGCAAAGGAGGCCTCTAGTGTCAGATGAGCCCTTGACTCCCAGATTGTTTGATTGCCAAGCTTAGAGTTATATTTGTTGGCTTAGCATTTCCTGTCATCTGCTGCCTGTGTCTGGAGCTACTCCTCACTCAGGCTGAAGGAGTAGAATTTCTCTGGGAAGTCTTCAAGTCCAAGTTTTAAAGAGGAAATGGTGATAAATAGCCACAGGCAAAACACTTCGGTGTTTGAATCATTCTTCTCTCTGTTGACTCTACAAAACAGTGTCTAAACTTAGCATGTGAATCACACCGTTAGACCTGACTTTTAACATTTAAGAATCATATTGTCCAAGACAGGAGTCTGGTGCCTAGAGGCTGAAAAACCATGACCCAGGAGCAGTCCATGGGTCTATGCCTCGCTGCAAAGAGTTAGGAGCAGGCTACCAGAGTGCTCAAACATAGGACAATGAACACAAATGCCTGAGGCTGGTATGTGGAGCATTACCATCACATTTTGACAGAGCGCACTGCCCAGTAAAACTGCACAGGACATCACTCACCCATTTGAAAACTTCTGCCCAACAGCCACCTCTTGAATCTGCATTTCTCACTCTCCATCTTATTTAGAGAAATACAACAGATTGTTCACTTACATGATGAATAAAGCTGCCCCCAAATTTGAACAGTTCCTCTGTGGCTCTAATCAGTTCATGAAAAGTCTCATCCTCTCTGGCGAAACGATGTCCAAACACGACAGCACAAATTACATTTGAGACAGAATGAACGAGAGAGAAAGAAGGATCCAGAGCTTTCCCTGCAATCGTAATAATAAATGTCAATGTCTCCTGCTTTAGTGAAATCAGAGAATGTTATAGGTTACCCAAAGAAGAGAGCATTGCATTTCATGGAGAAGCAGCAATCTTCATACAAAATTATAATATCAAACTGATTCTTCATGACCATGGTGCAATCCCATAATCCCAGGAATGTGTGGCACCCTAAAGAAATGCCAGATATGTAAAATATTTTGTAATATGATAGAGCAAATTTAGAGATAAGGAAAAAACACTCAATGCAAATTTGCTGCCCGGCAAATTCAAAATATGTCTTAAGCATGGGAGTGACTGAGAACACTGTGGATGAAGGGAACCTGAAGGGAGAACTGCAAGAAGGGAGACAGCCTTATCCAGCAAGGACATATAAGCCACTATGTTTTGTCTGACCTTGCTAGAGATGAACAATCTCCAGTAAAATAAAATGTTGTAAACTCCTTTCAGTCAATTTTGGCAGTGATACAATAATTAGTTTTAAAGCAATTATTTGAAAATCTAATTCAAATCCCTATTTTGTGACTCTGGAATAAATTTCTATAAACAAGTTTATTTATGTATGCATCAATGCAACTGTCAAACACTCAAGGCATGATTCTGATTAGCAACTTACTGTTTTGTGCTTTTTTTCTCCTACATATATGGCCACATTTCAATCTCTCCTAGTTCTTAAACCATAGGATTGGGCTAGGTTTAATTACTTTTAACTGACATAATGCTAGCCATAGCATGTCCTGATTTCCTGTGCCTTTGCGCAATGATCAGTATTGGGAAATCCAACTCACATGATCCTAACTGGGTTGAGAAGGGTAGAATCTTGAATTGAAGACAAGATTCTAGTCACTGTTACATGGAGTGTGCAAATAGCATTACAGACAAGACTTAATTAATCAGCATTGACAGTGCCTCCATAAGTTTATGCACCAGCACCATATTTGAGCCAGCAACGTGCCCTTGAGGCAAAGGCCAACATCATCCTGGGCTGCATTAGGAAATGAATTGCTGGCAGGCCAAGGGAGGGGTCCTTCCCCTCTGACCAGCACTGGTGAGACCCATTTGGAGGGCTGGGTCCAGTTTTGGGCTCCCCAGTATGAGAGACGTCAACATACTACAACAGGTTGAGCAAAGGGCCAATTAAGGGTTTGAAGCATCTGACATAAGAGAGGCTGAGAGAGTCTGTTTAGTTTGGAGAAGAGAAGGCTTAGGGAGGTATCTAAATATGTAGAAATACCTGGTGGAGGGGAATAAAGAACATGGGGCCAGATTTTTCTCAGTGGTATCAAGTGAGGCAATAGGCAAAAATACATTAAATTCTGCATAAACATAAGAACCTTTTTACTGTAGAACTGATTGAACAGCAGAACTGGTTATCCAGAGAGGTAATGAAGTCTCCATTCTTTAAGATATTTACAACTCAGCCCTAAGAAACCTGCTCAGATTGACCCTTCTTTGTGAAGGGATTAGACTAGTCCATCTTCAGAGATCCCTTTCCCCTTAGGGTGTTCTATGATATAAATAATAAATAAGCTCCAGTTTTTCTTCCCAGCTGTAGTTGTTTTGTAAATAACTTTGAACAATAATAGTCTCCTTGAAAACACAGGACTGGGGTCTTTGCATTTTCAGTCCGTTCCACAAAGACACTGAAAGACTGTGCACATTCTCTTGTGGAACAAAAGTAGCCCTTAATTTCAGAGAAGTTCATATGCTAAGGACATCAGACTAATGGTAGAAATGTATTGATATTTATTGCAGAGATACCTTTCATACTTGCAAAGAAGTCTACCAGGTAGTGGGCTTCCTCTTGAACTCGGTGCTCCAGACCTCTTTTCCCCAGGCCAAGGTTGCGTAGAGTCCTGAGTGCAAACCTTCTCTGCTGCTTCCAGGTGTGACCAGTTGCCAACATAATCCCTACATACATTAAAGGAAGATATCTTTATCATGCTAATATTAATTATAGACAAGGACTACATTACAGGATATACTAGGCCACGGAATATAATTAAACTATTGCATTGCCTAAGAACACAAAGGCACAAAGAACTCTGGCATGTAAGTAAGTTAACAGGGCTGAAAAGGACAAACTCAGCTGGATAATAAGATGACTGGCAGGATTAAGCTTGATCCAAGACAACCAGCTTTCTCTGGAAGTCTGACAGCTGCTTCTCAAGATGCTCTTTGTAGTGCTCGTCTCACACTCTGCTGTGCCTGAAGCTCACCTGAATCAGGTTAATGGTTCTTGTGAAGGGAAAGGGGGAAAGAACTCTGACTGTTCACAGGCAGGGATGAAAGTTCCTGTCCACAGGGCAGGAAAGTTCAGTGCTTAGGCTTTGTGACAGGCTTTGGGAATTCCCAGTGTGGTTGGTGGTATGAAACCTACAGCAAGGTTGAAATAGAAGTGCACTGAGCCTCTGGGTGTTACTGTGGGAGTAAGAAAACGTTCACAAAAGGAAGGAAGGGAACGGGAAGAAGATCCCACTATCAATCTCACTCTTTAATTGGAAATGTAATAGTGGGAGGCAGCAAGTCCAGGACAAGGAAGTGGGCTGTTTCCCGCTTTTTTTCCACTTCTCTGTGGCACAACTTACCGCTGCCTCATCGCATCACCTCTGAATCTGCTCCAGTGAGTACTTCATACAAGACATTATGAATCTTTTTTCTTTTGCTTGTATTTTCCTCCTGCTACTGTCCAAAAGCTATTTCACCCCTCCCTACCTTGCAGTTCACCTGGCAGTCATTCCTTGCAGACAAACCCTGCTTATTGTGGTACCTCTGAAAGTGGTTACAAGCTACAAAAGAGCTGCAATTTATAAAGATGATGCTTCTGTGCAGTGTTTAGGGAAAGAAATTCTCACCTTTTCCTTTGGCCATTGCTCTGAAGAAAGGAGACACCAGCCTCCCAGAAACATCTTCAGGGTGCGTGGTCATACCATCCTTCACTGCTTGAAATCCATTCAGCACAACCACTGGGGCCCATCCAAACCATAAGGTGAATATGTTGCCATGAATTTTTGCCAGCTAGAGATGGGAGAGAAGCCAGGAAAGCACAGATAAAATCCCACATATTGCAAACAAACAGAGGATGAACCTGTTTTTGCACTGATTACAAGACCAGCCCTAAAGTGGAGTGATGTTCTCCATCTTTCCCACAAGATTATAATTATCTGTGAGAAAGCATATATATCTTCTTCAGCATTCACTGTTGGAAACAACTGAGTATTCCCACTTTTCAGAGCCACAGGTCTATGTCAAGAAAAAAAATGTATCTTTTATTACTGTATGTAAGCCAAGACTCAGTTCTCAAAGATTCATGTGAAAAAGGGTATTTTCATTAATTCATTAATTTATTTCAAGAGGGTTTCTATCATTTGTACAAGTAAAGTAGCACAAAAGAACACAGAAATGCCAGAGGAGTAAATAGCTTGTAGAGACTGTACCAGTTATTTTCTTCTTTCCTCCCACCCATTTTCAATCCCACCCATTTTCAGTATAAGTGAGCACATACACACAAAGTGCACTTAAGTTCTATTTACTGCTCAAGCTAGAGAGTGCCAGTGCTCAGAAAGATAAAAATCCAGGCCATAAATGCAATTTTTTGGATAGTATTTTCTTCCCTAACTATTTAATCCTAAATTATATCAAATTTCACATGAATTTGTCCATCTCAGTATTAAAAGGGGATCGGTTTAAGCATCAAAATGATCTTCACATATTCAGAAATTCCAATACCAGTTTTCTTAACTTGGCAAACTACTTTACACCACAATAACTTTTTCTTATTTTGGCAACCAAACCAGCAGTTCTGAACCAAACCGGGTATGATATCACAGTGACCAGTTAACAGGGACACTGTGCCAGCAACGTAGTTTCAGGAGAGGATGTTTTCACATAGCAAACATAAGAAATGACAAAGACTTTTAAACAATTAGGAATATCTGAAAAAAGTACCTTCATGAGGAGATCACGATTAAACTGGAAGTTCAGCTGTATCAAGGTCCCAAAAATTGGGAGAGGAATTGGTCCAGGAGGAAACCATCTCCGTACTTGCTGCAACTTTAAAAACTGTGTAATTAGAAGAAATACAGCCACAGCTATAAGAACTTGACTTATTGTCAACATTTTACTGTCTGCTTTTACCAGCTTGTCTTTATTCAAAATAGTCTATTGAAGCTATTAAGGCTGGTTGCTCAACCAGTTTTTTCATAAGAGCTTAAATTTCATATAATAACTCTTCCCCGCCTCTAACCCTCCCTCTTTGTTATCAACCACTCCCTTTTTGTCCCACTTATTACATTCTCATGCTTAAGCATATTTAATAGATGCACACCTTCTCCCTCTTCTCATCCAGATTATACTTATCAAATACGGATCACAGGATTTGTAGGAACAGTGTCTTAAAAGACTAGGGCAAAGACTTTCCAGGCAATGTAAATTCTCCACCTAATTTTTCTGAAACAATTTTGGATGGTATGTGCTCCTACAAACACTCCATGAATGCTTTTAGAAAAGCAATAGTCATACGTACAAATTAAGTGTGTAAATGTAAGTGGACATTAAATCTTGGACTTTTTAAATTGTTTTATATATATTCCATATACATGTTCTATCTAGTAATGGCAAGACCGACAGAAGTTAAAAGCCCACATTTATCTTAAGATACATAGACAACTATCTATTGCTTAATACAAAAAGCAAAATTTGTTATGCTTTTGAATATAATTGAAAACATAACTGGTTTAATGTATGACATCACTTTTTTTTTCCTAACATATTTGCAATAGGTATTGCAAAACCCTCACTGAGGGTTTTGTCTGCTTCTGAAGTCTTGACATAAGATGGATACCCTAAAGGATATTTTGAGAACTCATCAGAAAGTTTATGAGACAAATAACAAATAATCATATAGAAAATACATCTGGTATGAAACAGATTTAAAAAAAAAAACAAACATGGGAAAAACCTACTAGGGATCTTGAGCTACAACAGAACTAAGGGCCCCAACAAGAACCAGTCATGACACGTGTAACTTGAGAACAAACAGAGACTGTAGCTAAGACTCTTTGCCACACCTCAACACACACAGCACCCATAAACCCAGCACCAGGGGAGTTCACATGCCTGAAATCAGACCATGAAAACCACACAAGGAGTCTAGGCACCACATAGCAGTGACCATTACAGTCCCTTTACAGATCTAGATTGAAATGTTAATGGATCGGTGCCTCCCTGTCAAAAATGCCCATCTCCTGAAAGCAAAACACTTGTAAAAGAAATGTGTTTTGACTGATATTCTGAAAAACCTGTCATAATGACTTGTGCACCAGCTTGCTTCTTGCAAGTGCCCTGTCTTTGGGACAGAAACTATTTCCAGGATTTTTGGCTCTGGGACATTGAAGACCCTTATCCAGAAAGGAGTCTGCCAGTCTGCAGTTTACAGACCTCCAATTCAATTATCTTCCAACCATGGCACCTCGTTACCACTAATGCATAACTGATTAATGTGTATTAACCAAGAAAGGGATGTTTCTAGGTTTCCTCAAAACCTTTGTTTGTGTATATTGAAAAACTTGTTTTTCAAGGCAATCGTTTCTAATTTATCTCTCTCCCCCAACAGGGAAAAAATAGTCTTTTTGAAAAGAAATTCTGGTAAGTTTTACCTGCTCTGTATCCAGTGTAATCTTACAAAATCTACTTCAAATTTACTAATTTATCAGAATTTTTTATTTAGAATCAATGTGGTACACTCCCTGTCCTTTTAGATATTCAAAGATTTTTCCATCTAAATGATTTGTCATCAGGAAAAGTCATTTGTCCAGTGATTTCTCTACCAGGATGTGAAGAAAGAAGTTTCGACCTGGGGCCTTCACCCCTCCAAGGCTGCAGCCTCACAGCAGGACCTCTGTGTATTTTTTTAGTCTTGCAGCCTCCAGTTTTCACATTATCAGTCATTTCTCACAAGTCCAGGTATCCAAACACCCTCCAGCCCCTTGTTAGCCCCTTGTCACATCCTTTATCATACTCTTAATCCCAGCCCAAAGCTCTTCCTTGTGCCTTTGGCATCATTTCTGCTAAAGCATCCCTCTGATCAGGGGATCTGTGTCTCCTCTCATGCTCTGACCACTTCAAGAGGCTTTAAACCTTTTTCCTGGTGGTGTTTTCCTGAGGGAGGAAGATTTCCTGTCTGTTTCTGACTTTGGCCCTCTGCTCCCCTGCACGATGCCTGTCCTGGCAGCAGTCCTGTCCTCCCTCCATGTCTAAAGCTGGGGCACACCACAGGGGCAGGAGCAGCCAAGAAAAAATACAAGGGCAGGAAATGGAGCTGGATAGAAAGCAGACTGGCACTTGTAGTCTCCACTGGGCTGGAGAAGGGAGTGAGTGTGAGAAAGGACCCTAAGACCCAGCCCTCCTCCATCCCATGTGAAGTGGCCACTGTGAGAAATTGCTCTGTCAGCAGAGCAGCCTTTCCCTCCAAAGGGCTGCACAGACCACTCCCCAGAGAGCCAGCAGCCTGCCTTCCCCTCAGCTTGGCTCCAGACACCTGTCCAGGTGTTTTTTCACAGGTCTTTTTGCCACATTTGCCTGTGAGAACTTGGTTGCCTCCCTGATACCCACTCAAGGTAGCAGCTACAGCCTTCTCTCTGCCTGGCGGCTCCTAAGACAGCTTCCCCACCACAGTATGAGGCACCAGTGGCATCACATCACCCCATCACCCTTCTGCCTTCCTCCTGCATGCTGGTCAGAGACCAGTTTTCTCTTTGGACTCAGCTGGACTTTCTCTGTATCTCCTTTTTACCCAGTACCACAACTCTCTTCCAAAGAAACCACGATAAATTCCCATCCTTCTTTCCACCAGGTAACAATTGAGAGCTTAAACGGAATATATTTATTTTTTAACATTATATTTCTATGGCAGACAACAAAAATTCCAAGAACCACCTTAGATCTCCCACTTCTCCAGGGCCATCTTTTTTTTGCCAGAGTTTCAAATGTGAAACTCTGAAACATTGAGGTCCACTTAATTTTTCCCACATATTTCTCCAGGATGACATTCCATAGCTTCAAACCCTACTTAGTTTTGAGCTCAATAGACACTTTAACCAGTGTTCAGCTGGAGCTAGCCTGGAATATGGTTCTCTCACACTGGAAAAGGGAGATGACTGTGGGTTGGTATAGACTACAGATGAATCTGGGATTCATCTTACTTTATTTGATGGAAAATGTATTTATGAGATTGCCTAGGCTCCATTTTCTACATAATTATTAAATGCAACCACCAGCAGCATTTCTTCGGCTATTCTTCAGGATTAGTGATTTTTAATTTGCTCAAGGCAAACTGCTGCCTCTCCTCTTGCTGTCCAGCTGGATACAAATGAGTCACCTCTTACCAGTGCAGAGCTACTGCCAGGGGGATGTTGGCAGTTTGAGCATGAGGGGACTTCATAACAATCACCTGCCTGTCAGGACATGCTGGACATGGGTTGAACCATCCCATAAAGGTAAGCCTGGAGGGGAAGAAACTGGCAAGCCAGGTTTCATCCTGTATGCAGATTAGTGATCTCACACATCCCTGCCTGTTAGCCCGGGGTGCTTTAAAACACAAGGTAGGCAGAGGTACCTGAAACAAATACAGCTGTGATAATGATGTCAGTCCTGGAGATGGCACTGTGAGCTAATCAGGGTATAAAAATAATCCTTCCTGTGTTGGCAGACAGTATCCAATTTTCACCTCATACAAGAAGAACGTATCTCAATGCCATAAAAAAAAAAAACCCTTGTTATCTGCCAGTAAGCAAATTTGCCAAATCTTAAATATCCACTTTTGCAAAGTCCTTAGTCACCAGGCTTATAAAGGGCTTCAAGAATTCTTCAGTAGTGCCAAATCTTCTCTTGGTCATGATATCCTAATTTATGCTGACTGATGTAAAAGCAGCTAATTGTGATCAGGAATTCATTAAAGAACTAAAAAAGTAATGAAGCTGAATAAATTATTGGAGGATCTGGAGCAATCACCACCAGTCGATGACCTGTCATGAAGAAGACATTCTCATGTTGCTGGCAACCAGTGGGATCATCAAAAAGGACAAACTATCAACACTGTGACTGCTCACTGTTATCATTTGTCTTCCAATCTTGCTCCTTGCCTGTGTTAAGAAAAGCTCTCCAGAACTGGCTGATGAAGCTGCTCTTCTATTTTCATCTGAAGGGATGAAATTCACCTGTTTTAGTGGCTGAAACCCTGAACTGTCCTGCCAGGTGTCAAGGATAGACTTGTATACAACAAGCTTGCTCAACAGCAAACAATATCATTCTGAGGCAGTGTTATCTCAGGTAATATTATGTCTCTCTAGAAAGCTTCCTCCAAGAGCTTCCTATATCTCCTGCACCCACTAATATCCTGAGACAGACTGGAAAACCTCTGAGCCTATCTCCACAAATGCCTCTGTGGCTTATGAGAAAGAATGCCCAGATCTTTCAATTTATAGTCCTTGCTTCAGGTTCTTTCCCTGTAAATCCTCTTTCCATCTGGTAATAAATAAGCACCAATTCTAATTCTTCCCTTAATGTTTTTATTTGTTACACATCAGGAGAAATTTAACAAGATTTTCCAAACAGAAAGAAAGAACAAAATATGAACTCTTCGTAATTATAATCCTCAGGATGCAACTGTCTGAAAAACATTTTTCAGGGTAGTGATTAACTAAACGAAGAGGAAAGAAAATCTGAAGACATGGAAAAAGGAATTCACATACAGAAGTAATTTTACAGAATAACTCTTCCCTGCCTCTACCATTTCCTACCGAGGAACGGCACAGATCTGGTAGGGAGGTGGCTTCATCGTGCTCCCAAAAACAAACTTGGTGTTGACTTCCTTCACTCCTTCTGGAAGGGTGAACGTGAATGCCTGTAGCAGGGTGGAAAAGACAATAAAGAGCTCCATCCTTGCCAACAGCTCCCCCATGCACACACGCTGCCCTGTGAAGAGACAGAAAAGGCAATCAACCAAAGGATTTCTACCATACCTCCCTCTCTAATCTGCTCATTTGCTTGTTTTCTGCAGACCTTGTCCTTTTCTCTTAACTTTGTCATTTAATGGTTCAGAACTGAAAGGCTGCTTTTGT